CTGAAGATGCAAAAGAGAAACAGTTTTGGGTGACTCAGCTTCGCGCTTGTGCCAAATACCACATGGAAACGAATTCTAAGGTAAGTAACCATGAGAAAAAGGAGGCGTTTGAGAAACCGGGATGGCTCCCTTTCAGCCCAATTATCTGCTGTTTTAGGGGAAGCTGTTTCTCATGTTATTTTTTTTAAAGATCTACCCTAATCGGATTCATATGCGTCCGGCTGCATTTAAATGTAAAGTCAGGAGAAGGCAGTAGGATTTTCCTCCTAGGTAGAATACAGAGGGCACTGATTCTGCAAAGACACTTTTCTTGCTTCTGTTGTCAATGTAGGCAGCTGTTAATTGGTCTATTGAGCAGCTCAAGTGGATGATTTCAGTGCGGAGGCAGAGGACTAAGATTTACAGTTGGTGAAGACTAGTGGTTGCCAGCCATCCTTAAATAAAACCTAGATCCTGAACTGATTATGTCCTGGCAAGGAGCTTCCGCATTCTCAGTGTGTACCGTTGTCCTCAGGTGCTTGACCATCCAAATGGGATTTATTGTGCTGTCCAGATCTTGGGAGGTCTTGTGTTAGATACACAGATAGGATTATCGTGGGAGATTTCCAATGATCGAAACACAGGAAATAATTACCAAATACACGTATCCAGGGCAATAAATATCCTTTAAGAGTCCTGTTCAAAGGGCTGCCTGTTTCATTGCATTAGTTCGGATTGTGTCTTTTTCGTGTTCCATGTGTCTGGTAGGCAGATCCGCACTGGAGACTTCTGATAATTCCATATACTGGAACCTGCCTGCTTTCTAGCTCAGGGCTCTGTGCAATATTTTATATCTCGCTGCTCTGGCTCTGGATACCACCTAGAATCTTCATGATGAGGTTTTTTTTTTTTTTTTTTTTTTAAGAGACATCCCCTTTTCCTTGACGTGCTTAGGGTAGTTGCACTGTCTTGGGTTTGTTTTGTTTTGATTTTTTTGCCAGGGGTTGCATGCACTTGCAGGAGGTGGGCGGGGAATGCCAAAGCACCCCTTCTGGGGAATGGTCATACCACAATCCTTTCTCTCCCATTTCCCCCTCCTTTTGGGATTTTGGGCATACACCTGCATGCGTCCATCATGTTTCTCAAGCCGCTGGGTCCAGGACTCAAACCACACAGTCAAACAGGTGGGATCTAGCCGCCTTAGTCACCATGCCAGGCTGGCTCCTTCGTACACTTCTTAAAGGTGCTACGTCTTCTTCTTTTATTATTTTAAGCGAGATTTTTTGCTCTAGGCTACGACCGCTTTCCAGAGAGAGAGAGAAAGTGAGAAATCACCCTCCAAGAGGGTGGCCATGCTGCAATCCCTTCTCCTTCATTCTCCTCTTGGGATGTTGGGCACTCACATGCGCCCAGCTAAAGGCCCTACTTCTAAAGCCTTTTTCTCTATAGCCTTCATTATTCTGAAGATCTTGTCATTATTTTATATATACATTATTTTATATATACACCTAGGCAAAACAATCTGTGTGTGTGTGTGTGTGTGTGTGTGTTTTCTTTTTCTATGTATCTGTAGTTTTTAGAAAACAAAACAGAAGAGGATAAAATAAAATGATCTTATCCTTACCTATTGCTCTATGAAGAGTCTTCAAAATATTCATGGAAAATACATCTTATGAAAAAACAACGCATGGATTTCAAACAATGCGTGGATTTTGGGCACCCATGCATATGTTCCTGGTGTAGTTTCAAGCCTCTAGGTCCAGAACTTGAACTGTGGTGGGCCATGTGGGAGTCCAGTGCCCGTGTGACTCTACCACCTGCTGTCCCCATTGTTTTCCATGAGCTTTTTAAAGTCCTCTCATGTAGACTCATTAAAGATGATTGCCTTTGGGAACCAGCAGTTAGCGTAATGGCTATGTCGCTGGACTCCCTCGTAGTCGACCGCGGTTCACGTCCCGGACCCGGTGGCTTAGAACTCACACCGGGCGCGTGTGCGTGCGTGCCCAAGATCCCGAGAGGAGAATGGAGGAGAAGGGATTGCGGCGTGACCATCCCCCCTGGGGGGTGATTTCTCGCTTTCTGTCTCTATGTCTCTCTCTGTCTGTCTGGCGAGCGCACGCGCCCTACAGTGAAAATCTCTCCAAAAAAAAAAAAAAAGATGATTGCCTTTAACGGTTCTTCTCGTCATTCTAGTAAATTCCGGCACATGTCAGTATGTATTGGGGGTGTGTGTGGTTTGCATGTATCTGCCTCTGTTTTTAGTGCAGATGGGATTATGTAGTGCACACTGTTGTTTTGTGTGTGTGTTTTTTAAAAACTGATTGACTTATCTTGGAGATTCTAGCATATTCGATACATGGCTCTTCTTCCCTTTTTAGTATGGCTGGAGGCTGTGCTCAGGAATGGACATCAGTACTTCATTTCTGTCCTCTGCTAATAGAGATTTAAGGCTGTTTCCTTTCTGTTGTTATACCTAATGCTGTGATAAATGTCTTTGTACATGTATATATTTTTGAATCTCCAGCTATATATCTATAGGATTAATTTATATCAGTGGAATTGCTGCATCGTAGAATATATTCTTCTAGATTTTCATAGGTATTGCTAAATTGGATTCAAAAAATGTTGTCCTAATATGTAGTCCCACCAGTCCTGTTTATAAGGGTTTGTTCTCTTTTCTCATTAAGTGTGGGCATGATTAACATTGGGTTTCAGGACCAGTAGTTAGCATAATGGCTATGTCGCTGGACTCCCATGTAGCTGACTGCGGTTTGCGTCCCGGACTCAGTGGCTTAAAACTCATGCCGGGCGTGTGTGTGTGTGTGCCCAAGATCCCGAGAGGAGAATGGAGGAGAAGGGATTGCGGCGTGACCATACCCCCTAGGGGGTGATTTCTCGCTTTCTGTCTCTCTCTCTCTCTGTCTGTCTGGCGAGCGCATGTGCCCTATAGCAAAAACCTCTCCAAAAAAAAAAAAAAAAACCCACAAAGCATTGGGTCTCTGGTATTCCCACAAATAAAAATGGACTCCCCCTTATTTTCATTTCTGAAATCATGACTGGAGTTGAGTCTGACCTCAAGCATTCACTGGTCGTTTGTATCTCATTTATGTGAACTGCCAAGTTAGATCTTTCACCATTTTTCTACTGAGTGTTTTCTTCTTCTTGATTCACTATAGCTCTTTAAATATGGAGGATGTTTATTTCGGGCCTGTTATTTGTACTGTAGGTATTTTCTCCTGGTGGGTCATTTGTTTATAGAGTTTGAATGAATTTCTCGCTATGTATATTTACTTTTACTTTTTTATAGTCAAGCTTATGAATTTTTCATTTGAAGCTTTTAATTTTACATTGTGTTTAGAGAGCTTCTTTGCTCCAAAAGTCTGGAAACATTCTTCTTGTGAGTTTATAGTTTAATTATCTATTTTTTTTTTTTTTTTTTTTTTTTTTTTTGGCCAGAGGATGCATATACTTGCCAGGAGAGAGGGAGAAGAGAAAACACCCTCTATGGGGGAAAGGTCATGCTGCGATTCTTTCTCCTCCTCGTTTTCATTCTGTTGGGATTTTGCTCACACACGCACACATGGCTGGCGTGGTCCTCAAGCTGCCCATTACATGGCTCAATCCATGTAGTCACCCACGAGGGATCCAGCTGTCTCATCCACCAGGCCATAGACCCAGCCCTAATGATCACGTTTAAATCACTGATTAATCTGGAATTTATGTTGGGAATAGGAATTGCGGTAGGGGGGAAGCAGCTTTAAGTTCATTGGTATTTTGATGAATCACAGGAGAGAAGAAAAAGTGAAGGCATTCCAGTGGTGGTAACAAGAGAAGTTGGGAGATTTTCTGAAGTAGAATTTGATTTCCTCCCATGTGCTCTGGTTAACTTCAGGAATACTGATTAATCTGTTAATAGTAAAACTGTGGGCCAGCAGGTGTGAAGAGGTGAAGATGGCTGACCGGATGGCTTTTGTATTTTTTTCTTGGAGAGACTTTTGAAGAGTGTGTGCTCTTGCCAGACAGACAGACTGAGACAGAGAGACAGAAAGCCTTTTGAACTAACTTTGGGGGTATAAGGTGAGCATTTTGGTAGGTTCCTGAACGTGGAACAGCAATTTCCAGTTGAGCGTGTCTGTGTTCCAATGTATGGCATTCTGGCTTAGAAACAACTAACGTAGGATTCAGAGTGAGGGCGTACTTAAATCTCTGCTCTGTCAACTATGTGTTGCACGTACCTGCTCAGGTCATTAAAAACAACCGCTATTGCCAGAAGATGCCCATGCTTACCAGTGAGGAGAGGAGGAGAGGAGGACGATACAGTGGAACATGGCCACTCTGCGTTCCTTTCTCCATTTTTCCATCCTGTTGGGATTTTGGACATGCATGCAAAGGACCCAGTGTATTTCTTCTTTTTGTTATTTTTTTTAGAGAGATGTTTGCTATAGAGCTCATGCACTCACCGGAAAGGCACGTGGGAGGAGAGAGACAGAGAGACAAAAGTGAGAAATCATCCCCCCAGGGGTGACAGCCATGCCCACGCCACAGGCCCTTCTTCTCCATTCTCCTCTTGGGATTCTCCATTCTCCTCTTGGGATTTCGGGCGTGCATGCACACGTGTCTGGCGTGAGTGTTAAGCCTCTGTGTCCAGGACTCGAACTGCGGTTGACTACATGGGAGTCCAGTGACGTAACAATTATGTCATCTACTGGTCCCCCAGTATATTTTTCAAGCTGCTTAAGTTGGGATTCAGACTGCTGTTGGCCATGTGGGGTCCAGCTCCCTGAACCCCCAGGCTGCGGTGCTGGCCCATGTGGGGTCCAGCTCCCTGAACCACTAGACTGTGGGGCTGGCCCTCAGGGTGTTTTTATTCTTTCTCATCTGCTGTCTCCTGTTGGAAGTGGTAATGGGAACCATCTCATTAGGCTGTCCCTTAGCTTAAGGAAGACAGTGCAAGCGAGAGGCAGCTGCTGGCCCGAAGTACTCCGAGGGGCTGGGGCTCCGTGGAGTGCCCATTTTCAGTAAAGCAGCCTCTCGGTAGGCCAGACTCTTCGGCCACCATTGGTGCTTTGACAATCCCCTCAAGGAAAACTAGTGTGCTTCT